GCTCCCTGTCCCCTCGACTGCCCCCCACTCCAACCACCCCCACCTGCTCCCTGTCCCCTCGACGTGCCCCCCACTCCAACCACCCCCACCTGCTCTCTGTCCCCTGACTGCCCCCCATCCAACCACCCCCACTGCTCTCTGTCCCCTGACTGCCCCCATCCAACCACCCCCACTGCTCCCTGTCCCCTGACTACCCCCCATCCAACCACCCCTTCTCCCTGTCCCCTGACTGCCCCCGGAACCCCTCCCTGTCCCCTGCCAACCCATCCAACCTCTCCTCTCATTCCTGACTGCCCCCTCTCCCGGACTCCTACCCCCATTCAACCCCCCGTTCCCTGCCCTCTGACCACCCCAACCCCTATCCACACCCCCACCCCCTGACCAGCCCCTCAAACTCTCCTGCCTTCTATCCAGCCCCCCGCAGCACCGGTGGCTGGCAGCGCTACAGCCGCACCGCCCAGAGCACCAGGGCAGGCAGCCACGCCGCCCGGCTGGAGCCAGCCACACCACCGCGCAGCATAGAGCACCGGGTCAGGCCGGGCTCTGCAGCTGCGCTGCCCGGCAAGAGCTCGCAACCCTGCAGCCCAGAGCATTGCGCCGACGGGCAAGCTGAGGCTGCAGGGGAGGGGGAACTGCAGGGGAGGGGCTGGGGGCTAGCCTCCTGGGCCAGGAGCTCAGGGGCCAGGCAGGAGGGTCCCGCGGGCCGTAGTTTTCCCACCTCTGGTATAGGGGATTATCAGCCCATTTTATAACTGGGGAAACTGAAGCAGAGAGGTTGTGTGCATCTTGGCAGGGTGTTAGACTAGACGACCCTTGCAGTCCCTTCTAACCCTCTGATTCTGTGACCTGAGTGAGAGAATCAGCCTCAGAGCTGGATTTCTAGGCTTGCCCACAGTGGGTTGGTCCGGTCCAGCATGGGCCCATGTGGGGGCTGCCCTCTTGCCTGAAATTGGGAACCCTCCCCCACAGCAAAAAGCAGGAGCTGTTACAGTTTGAGCTGATGAGCAACTCCTAGGCCTTGTGGTTCTGGCTCAGCAGTGGGACCTGCAACACAGACGCACTGGCGGGTCACACTCCGGGAGCTTCCAGATAGAGGGATTCAATGCCCTGGTGAAAGGAAGGGTGTGGTGGTCAAGAGACAACCTCTCTGCTACTCCAAGCTCTGTCAATGGTTTGTGTGACCTTGGGACAATTACATAGCTTCTGTTTACTCATCTATGAAACAGGGAGCATAGCTCAGTTTCACCACCCGAAAGCATTTCACGAGACAGACTCCCCATCCCTGCAAATCCTGAGATTTGATTTAAAAATCCTGAGATTAAAAAAAAAAACTGGGGGATTCTCTTTATTTGCCTTCTAGACTCTGAGCCTGTGCAATTCACATTGTCAGCTTTTTCTCCACAAACAGGAGGGCTACAGACTTCTTTAAAAAATGGAAGCTGAGAGTCTCACCTAATCACATGCCTCCAGGAGCTGGAGCTTTAAGAAAAAAACACAAGGAGTCATGGGTTACCTCCAACGCTGCTGGGGAAATCAGCTAACATTTGTAAAGTACTTTGAGAGCCTTGAATACAAGCAACACTCCTCCAAGGGGAAGCATGCATCCTCCGTGAGCAATGTGCTATGCAGAGGAAGCATACTCACTGCATGGATGATGCAACATTTTCACACACACACACACACACACACACACACACACTGCAATCCTCAAACCTCATAGGCACATTCAGAGAGAAGGAGTGAGTGTAATGGCCACTCCTTTGTTTCATCACTTGGGGTGATTTGCATTTCAGAAGGGGCCAGAGGAAGGAGACCCCGCTGAGTGCAGGGATGACAGCGGTGGCAGCAAGTCTTGCATCTTCTTCCCCCTCACCCTCCTCCCAATCTAGGGCCGGGCACTATCTGATCCTTGCTGCTGCTTCAATTTTACATTCTTTTTTCTTATGTTACTGGCTGCTCAAGTTCAGGCTAATGGATAAACCTCGGCCTTCCTGTAAACATACACCAGAGACAGAAACAGAAGTCATGCTTTCCATGCACTTAGGAAGCCCTGAAGCCTGGCCCCTTAGCACCATTCAGTTAAACATTCTAATCTAAAGCTACCACTGCCCGTGTAATTTACTGGGGAAGGGCTTTGGTGGATCAGGGCTCTCCTTCGGCCAAGTGCTTTGGCAAATGAAATGAAGAAAGAGCTTCCCTGGCTCCGATGGACAAAAATGGACTTTTTGTTTTTTAATTGTCAGTCACTGTGACTGACATGCTAGGGAAAACGATCTCTTTTCTCTTTGAAGGTGACTGGCAAAGGGGGAAACAATATTGTTTGTGCGTTTTTTTCCCCTTTCTGTTTCTGCTTCATGAATAAGGTTTGACATTTTAGGGGGGCTTTGTAAGAGGTTTTTTTTCATTTGCCCTTTTTGATTTTGACGTTACAAATTCCAGTCTCATCGGCTTTGTTTTTCCTGGAGGGTAACAGGACATAACATATAACAGGCCATAGCAAAGAGAGACGAGAAGTTATTTGCATCCATTATTTGCACCGTTCTTTGAACATGTAACAATAAGGCCTAGTTATAAAATGACAAGGGGATGGCCTATTCGCTAGTAAATGGATCTCAAAGTTAGTAATAGACTTCTCCACTTGAATGCACCATCCAACCATGCTAACTGAAGAGTCTTATGCATCCTGACAGGTTTCAGAGTAGCAGCCGTGTTAGTCTGTATCCGCAAAAAGAAGAACAGGAGTACTTGTGGCACCTTAGAGACTAACAAATTTGTTAGTCTCTAAGGTGCCACAAGTACTCCTGATCTTCTTTTTATGCATCCTGTCAAAGCCTCCTTGAGGGAAGAACTGGGGAGGTTCTGGCAAATGTGGCTCTTTGGACCTCACCGGGAGAGGATGTCCGAACCTTAAGCCATAACATGACACTGATTTTTAAGCAGAAAGCCCCACTGGTTGCAATAGGGCATTTTTGAAGTAGATGGGTTCAGTGACCTAGCTGGCCCTTTTCATCTCTCTCTACTATGAATCTTTCAGTGAGGGCCCAATCCAACACCTGTTCAGGTCAATGGAAGCCTTTCCACTGACTTCAGCTGATATTGGATCAGGCCTTTATGCCTGGTCCAGTGCTAGCTTCCCTCAGTGCTGTTACTTCTTTCCATCCCTAGGACAGATCCTACGGTACTACTGGGAGGAAGTCGCCAAAATGTAATAGATTTCAATCCAGACAAAAACTGCTTAAACTGTTTGGTTTTGGGGACATTGCCTGAAAAAAATTAAATGTTCTGCTGCTAATAGCTAGAAAGGAGACATCACAAGGAGTTTTAGAAACAACCGAACCATGCATAAGACCATCATCCGATTGCTGAAGATTGTGTGGTCCGTTCCATGCCCCTTTGGCTGTGCTTCCAGAGCAGATGCGTTGCCAAGGCAAGCACTGTGCATCTGGGCTACCGTCCCCACAGCATTTTTACTGGTGCATATAAATACCGAGTAGCATAACATTCCATAGGATAATCGTGAAATACATTTCATTTTGTGCTGTGCATGGAGGTTAGAGACAGAAGAATATCAGTCAATATCATTTCACAAATAAAACTGCTAGTAATACTATAAACGGGAGCCCGTCTTCCAAGGTTTAGGTATTGTCAAAGATTTGATGGACATAAGGGGACCATACATTTTAGTTCTCTCCAGTGGGTTTTTCTAGGTATGCCCACTGTCTTTTACTACCAAGATTTTGGGCCTGATCCTTAGCTGGTGTACATTGATTTACACCAGCTGGAGATCAGCCCCACAATTTCCTGATCAGATGACATATTAACTTTCGTGGCAGAGACCTACAGATCTTTGCACACATTTTTACCACAAAGTAGAGCCATAGAAGGGATTGGTAAAATCTAATAGGACATCTTGACAGAACAAAAAGCAATGGTCTCAAGTTGCAGTGGGGGAGGTCAAGGATGGATATTAGGAAAAAAGCTATTTCACTAGGAGGGTGGTGAAGCACTGGAATGGGTTCCCTAGGGAGGTGGTGGAATCTCCATTCTTAGGGTAGGTCTATACTTACTTCCGGGTCCGGCGGTAAGCAATCGATCTTCTGGGATCGATTTATCGTGTCTTGTCTAGACGCGATAAATCAATCCCGGAAGTGCTTGCCGTCGACGCTGGTACTCCTCGGCGAGAGGAGTACGTGGCATCGACGGGGGAGCCTGCCTGCTGCGTCTGGACCCACGGTAAGTTCGAACTAAGGTACTTCGACTTCAGCTACGTTATTCACGTAGCTGAAGTTGCGTATCTTAGTTTGAAGTAGGGGGTTAGTGTGGACCAGGCCTTAGAGGTTTTTAAGGCCCGGCTTGACAAAGCCTTGGCTGGGATGATTTAGTTGGTGTTAGTCCTGCTTTGAGCAGGGGGTTGGACTAGATGGCCTCCTGAGGTCTCTTCCAATCCTAATCTTCTATGATTCTATGATCTTGTCTGTAACCCTGTTGGGATGCTCAGAGATACTCTTTGACCCATTTGAAGTTCACTAGTTTCATACGGCCAGATGCTAATACCTTACTCACATGGAGTAATACCTTAGCCACAAAAGTGATGTGAAGAGTGGAGGAAATGCATTACAATGAGAGTCTACTGAGCTCAATCTGTTCAATTTACCAAAAGATTAAGAGGTGATTTGATCATGGTGTATAAGTACCTTAATGAGGAGAAAATACAAGCTACAAAGGGGCTCTTTAGTAGAGTGGAGAAAGGCAGAATAACA